GGGAAACCGGTTTCCTGGCTATTCTGGGCTATTCAAGCTGTAATTGATTTTACTGACATACAGCAGCAATTATTTTTTATTGTCTGCGCTGTGCATAGAAATTCTAAGACATGATCTTTTGGGGGGGAGTTGCTGAAATTTTTGCCTTTTATTAACTAATAGGAATACAATATTTTTATTGAAAGATAGTAGGAAAAGGGGGTTGCAATTTGAAGGAGTTTGTCTTTAAGAAAATATGTATGTATGTATGTATGGTATTCAGCTTTGTTCAGGTATTTTCCCACGTCATTGTAGTTGTGCTTTTACAATGTGTACTACAATAACATGGGAAAATACCCGAACAAAGCTGAATACCATACATATAGATACCCATGAAAACTTAAGAATATATATATATATATATATATATATATATGGTTCTTTGGTTGTTCGGGTTTTCTCCCGCGTAAGATTCGAAGTATCTAGGCAACGTTTCGATGAAGTCTCATTCATCATCTTCAGGCTTCTGTCTCCGGCTCTGTGCTTCTCAGAGTAATGGAGATTGCAGCTGCTTCCTCCTTTTAACTGCCAGTGGGGGTGGGACTTGATTGGGTGGGGGCTTGGCTGTGTTCTGATTGGGTGGGGGTGTGTTCTCATTGGTAGGGGGTTTGGCTGTGTTCTGATTGGTTGGGGGGTTAGCCGTGTTCTGATTGGTTGGAGGCGTGTTCTGTTCAGGTGGGGGCTTGGTTGTGCTCAGGTTAGTCTTAGTTGCTGGGGGATTTGAGCTGGTGAGCTGTGATCTTGCTGTTTGGCTTCGAGTTCGTGGTCGTGCTGCATCTTCATAGTGGGTGTCGGTTTGCTTCATGTATGGCTCGGAGGGGTTTGAAGTGGGTAGTGATGCAGCTGCAGTGCAGCTTCTGGTCCATGGTCGTGTCTCATCTTCTGAGTGGGTGTGAGTCTGTTTTCTACATGGAAGTGTGGTGGTGGCATCTTGTGTGGCTCTCATGGGTGTGGGTCTGGTGTCCTTCTTCATGTTAGGTACTCGTCTGTTCATGAGGGCGGGTTTCCAAATGGCTGGAAGGCGGGAGGTGTCATCTCGTTTGTTCATGCTGTGTGGGCGTTTTTCTATCTCTATGGCTTCTCTGATTATTCTGCTGTTGAAGTGTTCGGTTTTGGCGATAGTTCTGGTATTTTTAAAATCAATTTCATGTCCTGTGGCTTTGAGGTGTTGGACCAGGGAAGAGGTCGTTTCTTCTTTTTTGATTGAGTTCTTATGTTCTTCAATGCGTGCACTTATTCTTCTGTTAGTTTGTCCAATGTATGTGGTAGGGCAGGCAGTGCAGGGGATTTCGTATACTCCTTGGTTTTCTAATTCGATTTTGTCTTTGGGGTTTCTTAGGATGGTGGATATTTTTCTGTTTGTGCAGAATGCTGTTTTGATGTTGTGTTTTTGGAGGATCTTGCTAATTTTGTCTGTAGTGCCTTTTATATATGGGAGGAGGGCTTTGCCGTTTTCTTGTTCTCTGTCTTGGATTTTGGTTGGGGTTTCTTTTTGGATTAGGTGGGTAATCTTCTTTCTTTGGAATCCATTGGCTGTAAGTACGTTGGTGAGAGTGTGTAGTTCGGTTTTTTGGTGTTGTTCATCGGCTAAGCATTTTGTTCTGGAGATGAGTGTCTTGGCTACGGAATTGATCTGTGCTGGGTGGTGGTGTGAGAGTGCATGTAGATAGCGGTTAGTATGTGTTTTCTTCTGGTAGATGGTGTGTCCTAGGGAGCCATTGGATCTTTTGTATACCAAGACATCTAGGAAGGGAAGTTGGTTGTTGGCTTCTGTTTCCATGGTGAATTGTATTTTGGGGTGTAGGCTGTTGAGGTGTGTGAGGAAGTTGTTCAGTTTTTCTTTCCCATGTGGCCAGATTATGAAGGTGTCATCTACGTATCTGAGCCAGAGTTTGGGTTTGTGGTCGTATTTTTCTAGAGCTTGTGTTTCAAAGTGTTCCATGTAGAGGTTTGCGATGACAGGTGAGAGGGGTGATCCCATGGGTGCTCCTTCTATTTGTTTGTATTTTTGTCCATTGTAGGTGAAGTATGTATTGGATAGGCAGTGGTTGGTTAGATCTAGGATGTGCTTGGGGGGGTTGTATTTGTTTTGGATGGCTGTCAAGGCTTCTTTTATTGGCACTTGGGTGAAGAGGGATATGACATCGAAGCTTACTAGTAGGTCGCTAGGTTGTAAGTTTTGTTTCTTTATGATCTCGATGAATTGGAATGAGTTTCTTACGTGTGAGTTGATGGATTCTGCATAAGGTTGTAGTTGTTTGGCGAGAAATTTGGCTAGGTTTTGTAGAGGTGAGCCTATGGAGCTGACTATTGGTCTGAGTGGGGTTCCTTCTTTGTGTATTTTGGGGAGACCATAAAGCTTGGGGCATCTGGATGATTTTTCTCTGGGTATGATTCGTTGCTGGATTTCTTCACTGATGGGGGAGGCTTTTATTTTGGATTTGGTAGTTTTTTCTAGGTAGGTGGTGGGGTCTGTCTTTAGGGGTTTGTATGCGGGGTCTTGGAGTAGGTTGGTTAACTTGGTTTGGTAGTCAGATGTGTTCATAACCACTGTCGC